AAAGAAAGTTCCAGCAACATTATTGATGCGCGTTTTGTATCTCCTTAAGCAAGAGGTTGGAGCATATTTTGCAGATTATGCCTGTTATTCTGGCTCTTCGTGTCAGCCTACCTGGTAGATCGATTGCGTAGACACGGAAGCCGAAACCCGTGAGCAGTTGCATTGTACCTCTCTCCTGCCACGACTTGGCAGAATTAAGCTGCTTTGTCGGGTCGTGCAAAAGCACGATGGCAGGAAGAGGAGCACCCGACTTGGTGGACCAGAAGGCATGCTCCGAGGCTGATTCATGCAGCGTTTTGTTTGTCTTCACTCGACGCGGAAACGCCATGAGACCAGTTATGATGGCCGCCTACATGCAAAGTTGGATGTTGTAAGACAGAACCGATCGGATTGAGGTGTTGCGAGGGGAATGGGCGGAAGAGACAGTCAGAAGTATGATGGAGTGTATTTGGGAGTTGGTTTAAACAAAGACAGAATTTAGAAAGAAAGCAGGAAGCAAAGGTCAGGACAGCAATGGTGTATGAAGACGGATGACCTAGAGTTTTACCGTATGCAACATAAGAGTTCTATTCACCCTAGGGCCTAGGGGATGAAGGACTGATAGTTAAATTTATTTAAGATCTGCTGATAGTCTCGCCATCTGCTCACTTGGATGATATATACAATAGCATGGAAGAAGCAAAAATCTGTCCAAAAATAAGAAAAGAAGATTTATGCTCGATTAAGGCAAGGGGAAGGAAAACAAGAGTGAGTTTTATTTTCCATTAAGCCGACTGGATTGCTCAGATTATTACTCACATGCTGTACAGCATTTCTTAAAAGTATGAGATAGGCTGTAGCATTTTTTCCGGATCCCAAACCTTTTTTGTGATCGCATTTATCCACTGCACATCATTCATACATGTGACGACCAATTGTCAAGACAGCCGAGCACAAGGTAATATTACATCAAATCGTAAGTTTGCTTAGTGATCACATATCTGGATTAGCCTATACGAAAAGATGCTGAGTAATGTTGCAGATGTGTACTAGTTCCGGCAGGTATGTGTATTCAACTGATAGCTAATCTGCTTACGATTAATGGAAGAGAATGAGTGATATTTTGCATTTGTTTTTATTTGCCAATATATGCATGAATTCCGTTCTTAGTCACAATAGAGTAAGTCTATCCAAATC